ACACACACACACACACACACACACAAACACACGTACAAGCTGATCTCATGCTACATTCATTTTTCACAGAAAATATTTCCAGATGTCCAGAAAATGTGCTCCTACAACAACAGTGTAGCTCGTACGTTTTATAATATGTTTAAATAATGTGACTAATTGGGCTCTACGCATAACACACACCTTATTAAGAGACTGACATTTTTAAAGGATATTACAACAACGTAAATGAACGATAAAATCGTTGTTTGAGGTCGCTCACTTCAAAGAAAATTTCATGGCGGTATTTAACCAGTCATGAAACTATTTAGCCAATAGTTTAACAAAAAACGGATACTGAACCCATCCCAGTTTGTCACAACAGGGTGTCAACTCTCCAACATAACAAGTCACATAATTATCATAATTATATCTTTTTAAATTACTATAAAGTAGGGGGGGTGGTGGAAATTGACGAGGGCCTGAATCATGCATTGCGCTGTTTCCACGCGGAACTGGGACCCTCGTACAAACTTTAAGGACAATGTACAAAGTGACGAAAAAAAAATGTCTTCGAAATAAATTTGGCGCTGTTATGTTGAAAGTTTTTCCTTATTCATGCGGTTACGACCATTTTCAGCCAATAAACGAAAACCTATTATTATCCCTGAATTGTTCACCTATACCAAGACACTTTGTTCCTTCCTCAAAGAAAAAATAATTGCTGTAATTTTAGGTAATAAAACCTACATGACACAAGGGGAACCCCGCCTTCTCCTTTTACGTCTCGCCGGCATCTCTCTTTTTCTCTCTCTCTCTCTCTCTCTCTCTCTCTCTCTCTGTGTGTGTGTGTGTGAGTCTCTCTGTTTCTCTCTCTCTCTTTCTTTTTCTCTGTCCTCCCTCTCTCTCTCTTTCTCTCTCGTTTTTTCTTTCTCTCTCTCTCTTTCTCTCTCTCTCCTCTCCTCTCCTCTCTTCTCTCTCTTTCTCTTTCGTTCTCTCTTTCTTCCTCTCTCTCTCTTCTCCTCTCCTCTCCTCTCTCTCTTTTTCTTTGTTTCTTTGTCTCTCTCTTCTCCCCTCTCTCTCTCTCTCTTTCTCTCTATCTCTCTCTTCTCCTCTCTCTCTCTCTCTCTCTCTCTCTC